TACTTGGCTTCTTTTATGTGCTTTCACCTGAATAAATGCTTGATGTAGTCACCTCGTTGTGGCTGATTATTGCCGAATCCCGAGCCCATCCGGAACATATGGGCACTTGAAAAAAAAATGAAATAAAGAAACAAAATCCTTGCTTTAATGACCCCCCCCGATCTAAACAGTGTAAGACAAAAACTAAACCACAAGTCAGAAAACAAGTAGTAAAGGCAGGAAACAGATCCCATATCTTCCAACTGTCAGTGCCATGCTTCAGCCACAAAGTCATCTTTCTTCTCATTTACAGCTTTGTGTTTAGAATTGTGAGGAGGAAGTGATTAATGAGAAACCTCCTAACACTGCTCTGTATTCTCTAGATAAAGTGACCAACCTTCTGTGCAATATGAGAAGGGAACAGAGTGGTCCAAGAAGCAGATGGCGAAAAGAATAAGACTTTGGAAACAGAGTAATTTCATGATTCAGTGAGAATCTATGGAATTTATATAGAGAGATGAAAGCCTTGCTAAAGTTCTCTGAGTCCTAATCTCTTACCTGTTGGCTTGCGCTCGCTTCCTTGCCATCCATTAATGCTCCAAGTACTACTGCATTATCCACATCATTGATGAAAGTAAATGCTGGGTTTTGCCATGTGTGACTCAAAGCTGAATGATAGAGCCTTACTGTCCTTATGTGGCTGCACACATTTGTATGAAACTGTACCATGAGGGATTTACAAACAGTATGGAATAATTTTAGCTGAAAATAAGCAAATTGAAAGTGAACTTTATAGAAATTAGGAATGCTTTTTGCTAGCCAGCCTTTTCTTTCTTTCCTGTTGATACTAATCAGTGGTAGTGAGGTACATGGACTGTAGAATTAAGGGTGGGAGGTGAAGGATCTAATTGAAACTGTAGTTACGGCTCTACTGAAATGGAGTACAGTCACATGGAAAACACTGGATAAAAACCCCAGTACTGCCCTGCTTTATTTTACCATGGCCACTAGATGCTCAGAATAGATGGCTCAGAATAGATGGCTAAATTAGTGTTGTGAGTACAGGAGTTCCCACTGCTGAGCATGGGGCAACCTTTTGAAAGGGTTAAGTGTCTCCTTCCAGCTAGAAGGAGTGTTTGCTCTGTTGCAGAGACCTCACATTTTGCTTACGATCTGTGGGTTAGCCTCAGAGCCTAGTATTATGAGCAGCGTACTTATGCCATACATCTCACAATAAAAAAATGGGCCTGACAGGACATCTGTAAATGTATGATCTGAGACAAGTCTGTTTGATAGGGAGCTCTTCCAGATGACCTAAATGTTATTACCGCATCTGTCTTCTGCAACTCAGTAAGCAAAAGTTATTTTACAGCCTGGGTGACTGAGTGATTTTCTCATTTTTGTAACAGAATGAAGCAGCACATCAGTCAATTACACAAGAGGGGTTTCACTGCACTTTTCTTTCTGAATATATGATGGGAAACCAAACTATAAAGCTGATACTGTACTAATGCCAAGACCTCACTGAAGTTTTGTAGAGTCCTGCTCTGGACGCTGTCTTTATAGTCAGAGTGATCATGTCAGAAAGATGTATTTAACCACAGCAAAGCAAAAAGACATAACATATCCTCTTCTTGCAATAGATTTATCAAGCTCTCCTTGGTCACCCCAGATAACAACTGTTTATTTTTGATAATATTCCACTGGAGAGTCAGAATTGCCTCAGTGCACCTGTCTCATCTCAGAGATGCTCTTCAGAATACCCCCAAATAAATGTGATTCTTAGTTTGTCAGAAATTTTGCCCTGTCAAATAATATGTTTATGCTCATATACCACAGATGTGTTATTTGAGCTTTCTTAATGAATAATTTCAGTTTGGTACTGTGAATAAAGAGGAATGCGAAACTATTTAAAATAAGAAAAATAAAATTAACCAATACTTTATAAAAAACACCATGTCATCATGAAATACTCTAATTTTATAGGTTAGAAAGCCCATATCATGGCAATATGGATCCCTTTTAGTGCAGACAGAAGAGTTAACCTCATTTTAGTTAATAAGATTATCTGCTGCTGATTAACACCTTTCCATTGCACAAATTTACCATGAAGAAGGAAGCACTTAAGGTAATTGAAATTAAACAAATCACAATGCTTGTAAGCAGCAAGTGGCTTTTGGAGAGTCTGACATTAACACAAGAAAATAAAGATGAGAACAAAGACAGAAAATTAGTTATCTTGGGAATGAGTGAAATATTTGACTGTCACGGTTTGTTGGTTAGTGATAATTTCTGCTATTTTTAAAGTCTCTTTCTAGTCTGATTTAAAGCCAGTGCTGACAGTGAAGCTCCGTTGCCACAAAGGTGCACTTTGACAAACTGGAAAACAGTCTAGATAGGAGAGCAAATTGTATTTGTCGCTAGTAATAATTAAGAGCCAAATATATCATCTTTGACATCTTTGATACGTTCTGGCCCTGTGTTTAGGTGAATGCAGCAGCGGAATTTGTGATGAAGCTTCCTGTATCAACAGTGGTACCTGTACTGCAAGCAAAGCTGATTCATATATTTGCCTTTGCCCCCTTGGATTTAAAGGCCATCACTGTGAAGAAGGTGAGAGGATGCTAGGTTGCTTATATTTCTTTGTGTGTGTTCTCGTGTTCAGTGCATTTTCTTCATATTAATATCCAAGGCTGCCTTACAATATTACACTGACAGAAGACAGTCCTTGCTATTTCTCCTATTTAGTATCATAAAATGAAACGCTCCCACCATTCGCTCTGGAGCTCTATCCAGCTCATGTGTAATCGGTTTCTCAAATTCCCCTTTCAGAAGGTAAAATAATATACTCCACAGCTATACATTAACTCTAAAATAACACAAATGCGCTTCTCCTAAAAACACTATTGGTTGTATATTCTAAAATGCAAAATACCAAATATCATTTTTCTGTTGAAACCTTGGAGATTTAAACAAATAGCACAATATGTATAACTTTTTTTTTTTTGCTGCAGAACATAGATTTTTCATGAAACCAACCACTGTGTGCATACTTACTACTTTGACGATGGCCATAATACAGAAAAGAGGCAAAGCACTTTATTATACAAATGTATCTTTGAAGAAAGATGGGATTAAGAAGGGAAGCAATGTTGTTGGTTAGGATAAAAATACTTCTAACATGGATAAAGCTTCTAGTTTTTTGTTTTGTTTTATTTTTTATTGATATTAGCTTTAAATACATAACAAGAAAACTGACACTGGATAGTGGATTAGTCAGTTCCTTTTCTTTGGACCTCAAGTGACCTGTTTGTGTATTCTGGATTTCCAGCAATCACCTTGGCTATACCTCAGTTCAGCGAATCCCTGATGTCATTTGCTAGCACACCCTGGCCCTTGGAACCCCAGAACTACCTTTCCTTCATGGAGTTTGAGGTGATGTTTTATCCAGATGTAGAGAGCAGTGTCCTTTTGTACAGCTACGACTCACACAGCAAGGACTTCCTCTCCATTAACATAGTGGCTGGTTATGTGGAGTTCAGATTCGACTGCGGCTCAGGAACGGCTGTCATCAGGTAAATTGTGTTTCTTCTACTTTCTTTCCAGTGCCACAGTGCAGAGCCAAGTGGGCTAGAAAGAATAATAGCCTATAGTGCGGTGTCTGAGTTCATCACCCTCTAGTGGCTACTATTTCTAAGGAAACACATATTTAAGTGTATAAGACTTTCTCCTCCTCTTTCTACATTAATTTCCATCTTGAAGTATTGTTATGAGTGTTATAGTTTTATACCACCATCTTACTGCAGATGTTACCTTTATTTCTGTGTGATATTGCAGAAATTCCCCCATTGCCACCATGATATTATGCTGCAACAAATTATGCGTTAATAAAGAAGGATCCCTGAATATTTCATACATATATTCATATTTTGCAGTCACAGGATGCTAAAATATTGGCATTTCCCCCTGGTTTGACATTTTTATAGTAAGCACTGGGCTAGAGGCATTGCTGGATGAACATATACCTCCAGCTTCCCTCTTTCCTTCTCATGGTGCTGGGATTTTGGGGATCTAAGGGTGGGATCCAATTCACCTAAATTCATGAGCCTAAAATTTAGATGTCTGCCTCCCAGATAAAGACAGGCCTTTTGAGAACAATTCATCCCATCCTAAAATAGGTGTCTAGGATGGAAATGAGGAGATGCCTCAGCAAGGGTTTATCTGCCTGCATAAAGTGAGTGCACAGTCCCTGGGCAGCTGTTCCTTGTGCTCTGAGGAAAAAGCAAAGGGCAAAATAGAAGCGCTCAGTACCTTGGGTCTGATCCAAGAGGCTGCCACTTGGACCAGGCTGACCTAATATATAGAAATAATCTATACAAAGTTTATGCAAAATACGTACATTGCCTGCAACTTTTTGTATACCATATGTTTCCTGTGAACACTGGGAATTTGGGCTGTGCTGCGATTAAGAGGAATATACTGATTTTTCCCTGAATGAGGAACCAAGCAAACTCCTTCATATTGGAAAGTGAGAAATGAAATTTCAAGTCAGCAAATGAAAAATGATGCATGATTCTAACAATGCACGATTGTGGCAAGACAGTTATTGCTGCCAGACAGAAATCCAGGAGTCATAAGGCCTTCTGTGAAAGCAACAGAAACAAATAGAAGGAGGCAAGTACAATGCAGAGAATTATTAGGAAGAGAATAAAGAACAAGGCCACTGTAAAAATTCTTGATACATACACCCTGCAGTTTTGAAAATTTCCTGCAGTTCTGATCACTCCATTTCAAAAGAAATCAGTAAAAGTCTGGAAAAGAGCAATGATGATATCCAGGGCAGGGAAAGAAACAGCTTCCACAAATACAGCAGGACCCGTCAGACTGGAGAAGAGACAGCTTGGTGGAAATATGACAAAGATTTTTAAATTGTGAGTGACATTGAAATAAATAAGAAATGATTATTACATATTTTTTAATTATCAAAGAATATGAAGGAATCCAGTGAAACCACAGAACAAGTGAACAAGTAATATAAAACAAAGAAAATCAAGCTTTTTTTTGCAGGCAGCACACAAAATAGTATTGGAAACTAATTGTCACAGCATGTTACAGATTCCAGAACTATAAATAGATTCATAAAAACATTGGGTAAATTTGAAGAAAGATCCATTGAGGGAGATCAAACACAATCATAGGAATGCAGCTTCGCATTCAGGAAATTGCTAAATGACAAGTTGACAGAAGATGGGAGCATATATCAAGAGAAGTATCCATACTTGCACTGTTCTTTTCTCTTGCCCAAAGTGGCAGAAATAGCTAACGTCAGACACTTCTGCTCCATCCCAAATGGCCCTTCTTACAACATCTTTCAACCTCTTTCTGATTAGAGCTGTCTAATTCTTATTAGAGGCAAGCATAAGATGTTAGAGAATGATTTTTTTTTTCCCCAAAAAATATTGCAGTACTGCAAAACACCAGGTAGAAAATTTAACTGAGATGTATTTGGCTTGTAAAATGTGGCACAACCTACAAGTATATGACTGAGAGAGGAAAATAACTCTTTCTCCTTAAATGTAGAAGTGAGAATCAGAAGCCAACTGACTTTTGAATCATGTATATTAAGGAGAATGGAGTTTGGTTATGATAGCTAATAATCTCCTGAAGCTGACAGGCTTAGTTAAAAGTCATGAGAATTTTCCAAAGCACAGAGATATTGTTAAACAATACCTTACAGATATTTGTGTTACCTTACAGATATTTGTGTTCACTTAATCATAGAATCATAGAATCATAAAATGTTCAAGGTTGGAAGGGACCTCTAGAGTTCACCTAGCCCAACCCCCCTGCACACGCAGGGTCACCTAGATCACGTGGCACAGGACTGCATCCAAGCGGGTTTTGAAGATCTCCAGAGAAGGAGACTCCACAACCTCTCTGGGCAGCCTGTTCCAGCGCTCTGTCACCCTCACTGTTAA